GCAAGTCCGGCACGCGAACACCTGAGGGCAGGCATCCCTTGGCCGATAAAGACGTGGTACAAGCTCCTGGACGAGGGAAAGTCCAATGGTCTCGGCCACAATATCAGACCCAACGACCCTTACGGCCCCTGGGTGGACATCTTCTGCTACTGGCCCTTCCTCGATGCGCCAAGCATCCCTGGCGACCCGACCACCGCCTTTCTTGGTGGCACCACCGCAAGTGAGACGGCGGACTTTGACAGCTCCGGGAGCATCAAGGTGTCGGCTGGTGTAGTGCCTTTTCCAGAGGAGTGGAGAACGCATGAGGTTACCTTCCTGGTGGGCCTGCTTTTTGGTATCTGCTGCATGAAATGCTTGCGTCTCTGAGGATGCTATCAACGCAGGTCTCGTCGCAAAGTGACGCAATGTGTCATCTTCGCTCTATGCCAGGATCCCTTCCTGAGCGAGGCTTATCATCTTTGGTTTTCAATTCTTGTGGATTTGCGAAGGGTGGTTTAGCAAGCACCGTTTCGTCGATGGTCACACTGCCTTTCCGAGGACTCATGCGCCACCTGAAACCGTAAGCCCTCATCCCAAAGTCTTCATTTGCCTAAACCCTCAGCCCTGCACGCTCATCCCGCAGCCTCTCTACCCGATAAGTAAACCCTAAGCCCTAAACCCCTAAACCCCTAAACCCTTAAGCCCTAAACCCCAAACCCCTATCTTGAAGCCCTCATCCTTGAACTCCCTCCCCAAGCCCTCATCTCTTTGCCCTCGTCCTCAAACCTTCATGCCGAGAGCCTCGTCCCTCAACCCAAGCCTGCTGAGCCCCTCATTACGAAACCCTGATCTCGAAACTCCCGTCCAGAAACCCTCATCTCCACACCGCCCTCCTTATAGGCCTTAAGCCCTGAACATACATAAAGATGCAGATGATGGTGGCGGAAGCCTCGCATCCAGGAGTCTCTACTACCCGGTTTCAGAGCTCACGATGCCTCGGAAAAGCCAACAGCTCTGGAATCCCTACCCTGAAGCCCTACTCAAAGGATCATGGGACTTAGTAAGTAGGGTTATAATTAAGGTAACTATACTTATAACCCCAATCAGGGGACTTATAACCTTACTTACTACGTCCCATGACCCTCCAAGTACAGCCCTCAAAGCCGAAAGCCCTAAAGCCCGAAGCCCGAAACGCCAAACCTCGTCAAGTGCCAGTGTCGAGGAGAGGCAGAGCTATGTGAGTTCAACTCCTTGGGAGTTGGAGAGATGAACAGTTTCACAGCGTGTAGTAAGTTCAAGTATCCGGCAAATTTTATGATCACAGTGGAATACTTCGTCAGATGCAAGCAAGAAAGTACTGCTGCAGGTAAGCCTGTTTGATGATTGTCCCTGTGGGCTTTGAGCGCGCCTCACACGAGGGTTTCCAGCGTCAGCCTAGGGCCAAGCAAATAGCAATAACCGCCTTAGCAATAAAAGTAGTTTTTGCCCATCATGTCAGTTCTGAAACCACAAGACAGTACTGACCATCAGCACCATCATCGCCGCGGTTATCATCATCTTAATCGTCCGCCTCCTCCTCCTCCTTATCCATCCTAAAGCCTATTCCCTAAACCTAATTGTCATCATCAGACTGTGTGATCAGCGCAGCGCAGGGAGGAGGAGCCCTTCTAGGGGTTAATGCATTCCCTGCTGTATTGGGTTTAGGGTTTAGGGCTTCGGGTTTAGGGTTTAGGGTTATATGTGTGGTGCCCAGTATGGGTTTCCGTTCATGCAGGGCTCGAAACAAAGGACGGCAATGCAAATCGGGATGGTGGGCTTGGGCTTTCGGGTTCGTGGGTTTCGACTTCTTCTGATTTGAATCCTGTACCTTGTAGGCAATAGGGATTTAGCATATCGAGTTGTACTTGTGGTGATGCTAGCCTTGTTCTTGATTGCAGCCGGTGAGGCCGTCCTTTAACAGCTGCACAAGGCGCTGCTCAAGCTAGAGCAGCTAGGTGTAGCCAATAAGGTCGTCCATTGGCAGCTGCACGCAACACTCTGCGAGCGCCACTTCTCCGAGCAAGAGTGACGCCGTCTTTGACGGGAGGCGCCGGAGCAGACGCATTGTTGCGTATGAGAAAAGTGTCCCTCGGCTCCGACACGAGATTTTCAGCAAACAGGGACCCTGACCGGTCAGTGATATCCTGAACCCCAAACCCTGAGCCCTAAAGCCGTAAAGCACTGAAGCCCGAACGCCCTCGTCTTGAAGGCGTCAGCTCCAAAATCCCAAACTTCAGCATATCAGAGCGCATTCGCGATCTGTGAGCCCTGGTTGATTGTGCAAGCCCCTTTTCGGTGTGACTCGTTGTTTTGTTTCTGGGTTCTTAAGGTGATGTTTCCTGAGCAGGGTATGGAAGCACAGTCTTGAGGGCTGAACTTCTGTAGGCTCGGACATTCAGGCGATTGCACAAGTCCTGATGCAACAAAAAAGGTGATCTAAATCAGGTTCAAGGAGTTTGAGAAGGTCAGGGGCTCTTAAAATCTGTAAAGGAAACACGGAGTAACAACAAACACCCTGACAAACAATGGGCCTACGATGCTAAGAAACCCTTGTATAGGACCCCCCAAACCCTAAACCCTGAACCCTGAACCCTAAACCCTAAACCCTAAACCCTAAACTCGACTTGAGAGGCTTTGGGGAAGCCGGGTTCGGGGTGTCAGGTTTTCGGTACTCAACTGAGGGCCTTCGGGATCTCAAGCCCTTCAGGGCTCGTGCCTTCTACTGTAAGGCTCCTTTGCAGAAGCTCAAAAATAGAACCCTAAACCCTAAACCGAAATCCTGAACCCTAGACCCTAAACCCACTGGGGGCCCTGGGGTTCAAGGGGGACTTATGTAGTGAGATGCTTAGCCTTAAGGAAGCTCCCGGAAGCCTCAAAGACCCACCCAAAGCCCCACGGCTGGTTTAGGGTTTAGGGGTCGGAACGATGCCGTTCAGTAAGGCTCCTTCGAAAACCTTGAACAAGTTGCAAGACGCATGAGACATGCATCATTTAATTCATCGCGACCCCATGTGCGCAGGCTGTGGCGGGTCACGCAGCTTAGCAATCTGTGAGGTGCCCAGTTGAGACGGCTCAAGGTTTCGATCCAGCTTGGTTTCAGGGTCTAGGGTTGATGAGTTGAGGGGTTTGGGATTTTGGGCTTTTGGGTTTGGGAGTTTAGGGCTTGCCGTTGTGACCCTAAGACTTAGCCTGGGCCACGGCAGTATACTCAGTAAGGACAGCACCAGCACCTCCAAGGCCTAAATCTCCAGTCGGACACCGAACGCTGCTGAAACATGAGCTGCAATAGCCAGCCAAAGCACTTACCCGAAAGATCCCGAAAGCATGTAAGCCTACTTTAAGCGCTTTTCTGCGGTCCGCAAGTAGACTACTCAAGGCATCACGACCTTCAGAAAGCCTGTACGCAGGCTTATAACACCCTTGTAATACTCCCGTCGGGCTTGAGTGTGGGGGGTTTCCAGAGAGGTTTCGAGAAGCCAGCAGGTTTACAGGATGGCTGACGGCAGCGCAGGCTCGTGGGCATGGGCCCGAAACCTTAAGCTGTTGTCGCTACAACACGATTCTTGTTGAACCCTAAACCCCCTCGACCCCCGAAATAAACGGCACAAGAAAAACGTAAGCCTCTGCTTGGACCCCAAACTTTAAAGAGATCAAGGTTTGGCACCCGTTTCCCGAGGCCCAGACGCTGGCACGTTGGCAGCACCCTGGCAAAGTGACACTTGCGGTTGTCTTCCTAGAATCTAGAGCCTCAGATCGAGTCCCTTGTTTGTGTTTATTTTCTGGCTACAGAACCCTAGCGAGAGAAGAGGCTGTCCGACTATCCAAAAAGTTACATCTAATACTCGTGGAGAAACTTGCAGGACGCCCAAAGCCCTAAGCTTAGCATTCAAGGTGCGAGGCTTCAAGCTTTGAGGTTCGTCTTCTCGGGTGCAGGGCTTACAAAATCCGCGGGCCTCGATCTTGAGCTTGCCCTAAGCGCTCAGGCTCAGAAATGACATGATAAAATATGGAACAATTTAGTATAGCAAAACAAAATACAATATAATACACTACACTATAAGAGTACACCTAGAAAGAGCACCAGATAAGACTTCTTGGCCATTTCTTGCGAAGTTCCGATGTAGATCCTTAAGGCAAGTTTCGTTTACACCAAGTTCTGCTAGCCACAAAGACATGGAAAGAACAGAGAGTAGGCCGGCCAAGACAAAACTGGATCATGTTCAACAATGAGTATGTTTATGAAAACAAGCTACACTTGTCCAGCTATACAGAAGCTGCTGAACAGGACCAGCGCATATATAGTGCAGCATTGCAAAGGCAATTTTACACTAAGCGCTTTGTCTTTTGGTGCCTGAAACCCTAAACACTAAACCCAGCACCTCGTTCTTGAGAGTCTCTCAACAGTCGCGGCAGGGTCGGGTTGAGAAGATATAGCTATAACGCAAGAGCCAGCATACTATAGAGCAAGGTAATCTGTTTCATCATTATATCTGTAATGTAATGTAATGCAATGTAACGTAACATAAGGTAGTAGAATATATTACAACACAAGGTAAATGAGTAAAATAGCAAAATTCAGCACACATGCATCTAGGCCAGCAAGGTTTCTGCAGTCTCACGCTGAAACTCCAGGGGCCTAGGGTCTCGGGTCCGAAACGTGCAGATATTTTATTAAGGCCTGTGCATTCGCTGGAGCAGCATGCTCCGTAGCGCTTATTCCAGAAGGCTGAGATCCCTCAGAACGGCTCAAACCTCATCCGACATCTGACAAGCCCAAAGCTCCCTTTTGACGGAAGCTTCAAACCCTCATTGCAGCCCCGTTGCTTCAAGGCGTCGGCTTCTTCTGGGACTTGGCCTGTGGGACCCGCAGAAGCTGTAGTGTGTGCTTGGTGGTCCCCCATACCCCGTGGAGGAAAACGTAGACTTTGCATGATGAAATTTTCATCAGCTTGACAGCATCGCTGCTATAGTTAGCCTCGAAAGTTTAAAGGTCTCTGGTTCAGGAATTTGGATGTGAGTCGAGGGTTTGGGGATTGGGGCTTAGGGTCGGAGCGACATGGGTCAACCTCATTCATGCAGTAGCTCCTCGTCTTTCCTTCATGGCTGAATGTCATAATGTGCGCTCTTATCTACTGGCCACTCGACGATTTTCGTGAAGGTTATCGTTCAGGGGCGATGCTGGGTTTGGCTGCGAGGGTGCTGCGGACCATGTGGGCCTTGTTCTAATTCCGAGCCCCCTTTCACCCCTCATTTTTGGTGCGCATGTGTGACCCTAAACCCTAAACCCTAAACCCTAAACCCTAAAGTGTGTGAGTCGAAACCCTAAACCCTAAAGAAGGGCCGGGGGAGGCCCTGGACTTCAAAGCCTGAGCCCATGACCTTGGAATTGTAACCCGAAGAGGAAGTACCAAAGCAAGCAAAGCCACCTCCAGTAGCATGGGAGCTTCAGTCACCCCATAGAGGCGACAGGGTGTGTACCGATAGTCTCCATTGTAGTTCCCTTTTTTTGGTTTAGCCAATTATATATTTAGGATCCTATAAGGTACCCCCAAAAAGGAACTACAATGGAGACTACAGGTAGGGTTGGATTTAGGGTTTGGGATGGTCAGGCTTGGGGTTCGTACATGGGTTGGTTTTCAAGCCGATTCAGGGGTTGGGACCTCGAAGCCGCAATAGGCACTTCACTCTAGGAGCCCCGTGCCGTTCTTGTACCTCATATTATCGGAGCCTGACAGAATGACTAGTTTGCATCGCAAGTGCCTCAGGCTTTTTACTGCTTGCATAGAGCCCCTCGCAAACCCTTGTCGACCATTAAGCTGTCTGAAACTCCTGTCTGCTAATTCAATCGAGGTTCCACGGAGATTGTGGACGCAAGCATCATCGCTGCTAGCTTAGTTTGGGGTGAGCACTACAGGAGCTTAGGGTGGCGGGTTTGAGGCGTTCAGGGCTTCTAGGAGTTTTGAGAGGATCTTGATCTTGCTGATCCCTACCCGTGTCCTGATCGTATTCTGCTAGGTCACATCAGCAGGCTGTGTGCGTGGGAGTCGTTCTGACAGAGATGGGCTTGCTTGAGGCAGTCTTTAGGCCCTGATACCTGGGACACTGGGACTTAATTAGCGGAAACAAAGAAATGGAAGCTTGAACCCTCATTACACCTCATCCCCAAGCCCTAAACCCTATCCTAAACCCTAGCCCTCAAGCTTCCGAAACCTTGCTTTGTAAGTTCTAGACTCGGGCTTATACTAGGACCTTACCAGCCAGAAAGTAGGATATGGTAGGTCAAGATACCCCTCCTTCACTCCTTGAGGGACAGTAGAAGGGACCCTTAGAAGGGACCCCTAATCCAAATACCCTATATAACCCTTATGTACCCGTTATATAGTCTCATAAAGCCCCTATACAACCCTTTAAGGGTCCCCCCTTTAGTCCCTTGAACTCCGGGATCCCCTGAGTCTGAACCACGACACATACCTTCATCGTTTAGGGTTTAGGGTTTAGGGCAAAAAGGGTTTAGGGTTTAGGGCAATCTTAAAGCATCCCTACAGCTTCGAACGCCCGGGTCCATCCGCCTTGAAGCACGCACCACAGCCCTAGCTCCCCGAAGAACAGCGCTTACTCTCATGAAAGAGCATACAGCCTTAAAAATAAATACAAAAAAGCCGGGGATTTGACCCGGCTCCCCTTTAAAGTCAAACCCTAAACCCTAAACCCTAAACTGTGGACCCCGAGGCCAGTGGATGGGCGCTGGGCTTCGAGGTCGGACCTCTCAGTTCGTATGGCTTCGGGGTTTAGGAGGTTCAGGGTTTAGGGTTTAGGGTTTAGCGGGTTCCGGGCGAGAGAAGCCTGCTGCAAAAAAAAGGAGGTTCAGGGTTCAGGGGGTTCTAGACTGATTAGGTTCATATGAGCTGAATTGAAGAGGTTCCACATTCTCCGGGTTTGTAAGTAAAGGTTTTTGCTCGATGGGTTCAGTGGGATTCAGCAGGGTTATTGGGGTTCTATGGGGGTTCGTGTTAAGGAGCAGGATGGAGGATGTGAGCAGGGCATTGAAGCGCAGTCATGAGAGCTGAACCTCCGCCTGCTCAGACCTGAGGGGGATTGCAAGTCCTGATGTAAAAAGAGGCAGCACATGTCATGTCTTCTTAAAGTCACCAGGTGTTCCAGTTGCAGAAAGGTCCCAGGGTTCAGGGTGTAAGACTTGGAGTGTAAGTGTAAGGTTTCATTAAGGTGGCCACCATAGGGAGACGCCTTAACGACTTCTGAAGGAAGTATGACTTTCTTGGTCTTACTTGTCAAGGGAAGTTAAGATCAAGTTCCTTAGCAGTTTCGTGAGGTTCAGGGTTTTCTGCTCGATGTTTAGAGTTCAAGGTCGAGACTATGAGGTTTAGGACTCAGCATCTAGGGTTCTTACCGACGGCTTAGGGAGTTGTGTGGAGTTCGTTTTGGGTTTGGCCTTGCTAAGAAGCAGAATCCTAAGCGTAAGCTTCAAGCCCCCATCCCCATTAAACTATATGCACCAGTTGAAAGCAAGACAGCAACTGAACTCGAAAGGAATCTCCCATCTCTTTACTCCCTGAGGCCCAGAATGCCTTCTGGCAGAATGGCAGCAGCCGCGCTGAGTGGGTGGTTGCCTCGGACATGAACGAACTCTTGGGTCCGGTTAGCGGCACATGTCCCGCAGATACCATGTATGTGTAGTTTTCAGTGAGAGTACCTGTAGTCTCCATTGTAGTTCCTTTTTGGGGGTACCTCATGGGACCCTAAATATATAGTTGGTTAAACCAAAAAAAGGAACTACAATGGAGACTATAGGTATACCCTAGACTTTGAGTCGAGTTTTCAGTGTCAAGATGTTTCTATCTGCTCTTGGCACTTAGACTTAGCAGTGTTCCGGGGGTCCCGCAAAGCCGCCCTTTTCTAATTTGGGCCGCCTCCAAAGATAGGCTTGCCGGTGTCCGGTTTAGGCTTAGCCGTGAAGGGTGCAGTGTTTTCGGTATCTTCGGTTTCGGCCTGTGGCTTGCAACCTAGATTTGGAGGGTGTTGAACTCTGCGTTTCTGCTTGAAGAGTCAACGAACTGAGTGACTTAGTACGTAAGTAGGTCCTGTTCGGGACTATAAGTACCCTTAGGTCATCCTCAGGATAGCCTCTTTTACAATCCAATTACTACGTCTACGGGGCTTTCATTGTGGAGCTTTTGAGTGCTGGTTAAATTGTCCATTTCTCAACGGCTCGGCGCAACAATCCCTGTCGAAGGCATCTGCTTGCGATGGCTGCGGTTCGCAGCAGGTGGTCCGATTCAGTTCTGCAGCACGCAACAATCGAACTTCATGAGGTGTATTGGTAGGTTCAAGCTTGAGGTAATTTAGGGTTCGGGGTAGGGGTGTGTGGGCATAGTGTTCTGAACAGGAGACAGGATTTGCAGTGAAGGCGTGAATCAGTCCCTTGAGTCCTTAAGTTTTCAACAGAATCGCTTGCACCCCCGAACACCCTGTACCAGCCCCCATCCCATCCCAAGCCACAGATCACAGATGATAAGCAAAAGCATTCCATACCGTACCTATTTACATGCATACATACATGTAGAGACATACATACACACATACGTACATGTATGTGTACATGCAGCTAAACATACATACACGCACCCACATATACATACACCCATACAGGGCAGGCAGACGGACTGAAACACAGACACACAGACCGACGGACCGACCGACAGACGGACAGAGACAGACAGAGGCAGACAGGCAGAGACAGACAGACAGAGACAGAGAAACAGACAGAGAAACAGACAGAGAAACAGACAGAGAAAGAGACAGAGACAGAGAGACAGAGAGACAGACAAACAGACAAAGACAGACAGACAGACAGACAGGCAGACAGACAGACACACACACACATTTAAGCCGTACAGCTAAACATATATGTATATGTAAAGAAGGTCGTTATTTTCAGACGCCCACACACTTAACCACACAAGTATTCAAGTATGTATAGATATACAGATTTGTATGATACGTACGTACATGTACGCATGCTTAGCTCCTGGAGCTGGGCCGGTAGACACAGGGTTCAGGGTTCAGGGTTTAGCGTTGAGGGTTGAGGGTTTAGGGTTGAGGGTTGAGGGCTCGAGGGTTTAGGGTTTAGACTGGGTCTGTTGGTGACGCACGTTGCCTAGATCACGTCTGACCGGCTTCCGGAGTATGTGAGACAGAGAGAACCAAACAAGCCCACAACCCCCTGATGTCCAAGCCTTCAGTACAAAGGCCCCTTCATCTAGACACGCTAAACCCATGTACAGCCTAACAGCTAGTCCTGCCGTAACAAGGTGGTACCAGACTCCAAAGCCTTTTTCTAATCACTAAAGTCACTAAAGCCCTTATGCTCACACAGCTACAAAAAGCCTACAAGCCCTTATATAAAGCCCGCAAGAACCCAATAGGAAATCTTCGACCCCAATTCCGCTGCAAGCTCCGGGGGCCCAAGACCTCGCCCCTACGTTAACCTACCAGAACCTACTTCTGCAGCGTCTCTATATAAATTCCTGATTGGGGCTTAGAATAAGAGGCTACAAAAATGTAGGTTTTGGTAGGTTAAGGTAAGCCCCTAAGCCCTATAAACCCTGAACCTGACCCTAAACCCTAAACCCTAAACCCTAAACCCTAAGCCCTAAACCCTAAACCCTAGCAAGTCTCGGAGGCCTGGCTCGGTGTTGCTCTGCCGCTGCCCTCGTGGCCTCGCTGCGTGCGGGGCTGGGATGCCAGGCTTTTGGATGTTGCGGGTTTTTCGGATTCAGGGGTTTAGGGGTTTAGGGTTGTATGGTTTTAGGTTTTATTGTTGAGGGTTTAGGGTTTTAGGCTGTCGTGCATAGTCGGTGAGGGTTATCAATTGCGTGTATATCGGTTTTTTTGCATGATTGCAGGGTGTCGGGTCTGGTGTGCAGAATGTTATCGTTGACTTGTCTTAGGTCATAACTCAAAGTTTAAGGTTCATGGTTTATATCTATAGGATTTCGGGGTTTGAGCCTGTCCTCGGTTCTGGGCTTATATTTTACGGTTGGACTGAGACTAAGAGTGTCTTTCGACTCCTCGTTGATGCACATCTTGCAAGTACCTGCCGGCGGTGGACGTACAGGTCCTGGTGAAGCCTCAACTCGTGAGTTGTTTTCGGCCATTCCCGATCATCCAGGCACGAGTACGAGCTCCCGGTTCCCAAAAATTGTATAGAACTCATCAAGTTCGATAGTTTGTGGTCAGGGTGTCATGGTCCTTAGACCCTCAACTGCTTTTCCTTTCTTTCGGTTCCACGACTTCCCATTCTGTGTATAGCATGATTGCAATAAAATAGGTCATCTACAACATGCGCGACATTTTAAGATGTGTTGGGGCTTGGGTTGCTGCGTGTCTACTCTCTTGCCTATGCCCATACAAAGTTCTTCGGCTAGCAGGCTTGACCGACCAATGCGGGGGTCTAGCCAATTTGGTCTAGCCCATTCGTGTTCCTTTTGGTCTCTTGCAGCTTTTGTTGCTTGCCCTTGTCCGGTTGACTTGGCCTAAGCGGCCCCAGATGGTGCGAGGCCTTCTTGGGCTCATAATGATGTATGCTGCCGTTGCCACCATCGTGGTTGATACTTCTTTAGTCGTGCTACTGTTATGCTGCTTGTGTCAAAAGTGTGCTGAGGAGATGCTTCAGAGAGACGGACCTCGAAGCATAAAGTCGACCATATGCCTCGGACAATAGCTAGCTTGGCTTCCACATCTTGGTCGGCCAACTATACTTTACTAAATCTAAACACGTACCACGCTCTACTATAATGCTATTTTACTCTACACTATACTACACTGCACGATGCTATACTGTACTATCCAATACTTTCTTCTTGTAAAGTAGTATAGTATACTTGATTTATGCATATATGTATCTATCTATCTATCTATATATATATATATCTCTCTCTCTCTCTCTCTCTGTTGGCAACCTGCGAGTTTCCCCTAGAGAGCGGCCTGATGCAGGGTTGTGGATGATGTGCGACACCGTGTCCGACGTAGTGCCGCAAGGGTTTCGGGTCTACGGAGCATGATGACTCAGCAACCCTCCGTCGCCGTGGGCTCAAGCAATGTCCGAACGGATTTGACGTAGCCCGTCGCGCGGTGTCAGTCGCAAAGTGACCTGGGCCAAAGCGACCCTTCCTGGGCACGTCGACCGAGGAAGGGTCGGCGTGGCTTTAGTTGAGAGCTGTTCGGGTTTAGGGTTGAGGGTTTAGGATGGGTTTAGGGTTTGGGGTGACTATACTATGCTGTACTATATCATACTATACTATGCTTTACTATACTATTTTCTACGATGCTATACTATATTGTACTATATCATACTATACTGTATTAGTTTATACTATACTATGCTATGCTTTACTATACTATACTTTACTATGTTCACTATACTATAATATATCATAAGATAGCATACTATACTCTCCTCACCTTACTTCCCTAAACCTCAGTCGCTTAGGCCTAGCTCTGGCCGAGTGCTCCCGGCGAGGATGTTGGATGGGGGAACGCCACGACGGTGGCACCATAGTGGCCACAGCTTGCATGAGCGAGTCAGGCCGGCCCGATGTTGTATCTCATAATCTATTTAGGATATACTAGCTATGACTTGTTCTGTATCGTGTATTCTATATCATAGAACACCCTGCGATAAAAAATATAGGGCTTAAGTCATTGGGGTCTGAATAGCACGATGTAAAGTTGATTCCTGAAGTAATTTTGCGCTGGGGATGCGATGGGTGAAGCCTGACGACTTGGGACTAACATCCTTTTAACGTGCTGATGTACGTCTTTATCCGTCTAATATGACATCTGAAGATGATAAATTTATACACAGTTTACATGCTTCGCGTCGTCCGCGTCGGCCCGACTGTACTTGTGGCATGTGCATTGTTTCGGAAAGCAACGGGTAGGTCACACAGGTGAGGTCTGGAGTGAATGAGCGCCTTTGCTTCAGAATGCTTTTTATGTCAGTATTTGTTTTTCATGCTGAGGCTCTGAACAATAATCCCACGGGAGAAGGTGGCATATTCCCTGCATCATCCCCTCGACGTTGCTACAATAATCCTATCACACCTCTCACTGGTCTCGTATAGTATACAACCTCCGATATGTTGGAAGGGGAACCCCAAGACCCTAAACCCTGAATTCTAAACCCTAAACCCCTAAACCCCTAAACCCCTAAACCCTAAATTTTAACATCAGCTTCACGAATAATGTGAGTGTTGGCCCGTCGCCTCGTCGTAAGGAAGAGAAGCGCGGGAGTGGGGGTGGGGGTGGCGGGAAGCGGGGGGGGAGGGCCCGGAAAACACCCAAATTTTGGGGCGGGGTGCTGGAACAAGCCCACTCGAAGTCAACATTTTTTTGGGGGGGGTTCCGGCTAAGCGGGGTTGGGTCACTGGGGAGGGGATTAACAGGCGGAGAAACAGGGAATCCTGGTGAAAACCTCTGATCGCTTTGGCTGGGGCCGAGGCAGCTTACGTCAACAATCAGCCAATTGCCTCAATCCCCAGATCAAATCCCCACATCTTTGGGGTCTCTAGAACCCGAATCCCTAAGCCCTCAGCCGGTCTAAACCCTAAACCCTAAACCCCTAAACCCTAAACCCTGTTGCTTCAGCTCAAAGAGGCAGACTGTTCAGGTCACTCGTTTAGGCTTTTGGCGGCACGGCTTTCAGGATTGGGCGGCGGCGGCTGCGAGAAAACATGCCCAGGCTTGCAGACCCTGCAGACTTATTATAGTTATAGTTGTTATAAGTCCTTGCAGAATTATTATAGTTATAGTATAATATTTCCCAAAACCCTATTCTGGTTATGCGCCCCCCCCTCAAAGAAACACATTCAAACTATCTGTAGATCAGCAGCTTGGAACTGTGTATCTACTTTACTGTGTTGGGAAGCTGATGATGGCCCGCCCCAGGACGGTATGTTAATGTTGCTGCAGTTCCAACGCCAAGCCCGAGCATACGCCGACCATCAGCAGCTACTAGGTTTCTCGACTCCTCCAGCCCTGTGGAACGCAGAGTCTCAGAGTATCGAACCGCAACCTATAGGCATGTGCTGGTCATCTTGGTCCTGCTGCCAACTTGCCCCACGGCTTTGTTCAGGGATCCAGCTGGGGATTGAGAGTTAAGCGAGTGGATCATAAGTGCTTACTTAGCAGCCCTGCCCTGGGGGCAGTGCAGCAGAATGAACTCTTCTGCAGTTAGGATAGCTTGAACCTGAGCTCCACACCCTTGCTGTGCCTGGTGCAGCTTAACGCGGCTCACTGGGCAGCTAGATTTCATCTACGTGCATTTCTTCAGGCCTGCGATCGAAGAAAGTGATTGCTCTGCAACAAGAGGCTTCAACATCTACCACGTTACACGTGCACACACACACACACCTACATACATACATAGATGCATGCATACATACATATGTATATACATATATAGATATACACATACATATATACATTCATGCGTACATACAGCCATGCATACATACACGCATAGCCCTGCACGCATGCAGATATACATATATACACATGCAATTTTCGAGCATGCTTCGTCCTGTGATAACTGTCCTGCGTGCTGCTACTCTTGTACATACCTGTTTCCGTCTTTGGCAGTTTTGTCAGTGGCGCCGCTGTCAACATCATTCCGGATGTAGGCCGGGCTAGCAGCAACATTCCTGAAGCTAGCCCAGTTCCCTTGAATCAAGGAATATGCTTTCAACAGTAATTGTGATCCCTTGTCAACCTACAATGATGTAACTTATGTTCATATTCCTTAATTATGCTGTGGGGTGTTGGGCTTCTCGGGGAAAGCCTCGGAAATCTCACGAGGCTGTCTCCTCGGACTCCGAACTATCCGATGGATCACCGGCGCAGGGTTGCTTGCCATGATCTACATATACAGATGTTCATATGCTTATGTACACACAACCACATATATACAGCCATACAAAATACATGTGTACATAAGTACATAAATACATGCAGGCATACGTATGTGCATGTGTAGGTATATATATATATATATATACACATACATAGACAGAGACAGAGAAGTAATTGAGGCTTGCAGGTATTGTTGTAGATTTTTGCCTTTCTGGATGGTGTTGCGTGTCCTAGGTGCGGGTTTTGAGTTGAATCGAAGGTTGACTGTTCTTGCATTACGGCATTGTTTGGGCTGCATGGCTGGGCCGGAAGGGCTGCCTAGGTTCATAACTAGTCAGGCCAAGGCCGTTTCGCCCAGGTCCAAAACTATGCGTGCAGGCTTCTAAGAATGAGAATCAGGGACCTTTGATCTAGTTGTCCTTGTAGTAGCTATGCAAGACATCATGTTCCTATCAAGCTACTTGTCTGAAGCACTCATGGGCCTGGTGTTGTCTTCGTTCCTACAAACAGGAACCCTTGGCCAGTTGGCATGTGATGTGTAAAGACAGGCTATGAATTGCCAATTGCTTTGCAAGTACTTGAGGGCCGTTGGACGGTTGCAGCGGTCTTTATTGAAGTTTGAGGCAGTCATCCTACTTCAGCCTCCTTAAAGTACGACAACTGCCTCGACGCTACTACGACATACTACGATCACTAAGTCACGAAGATGTCCTCCGCCGTGCTGTGCTTCTAATACTACTGTTCAAGTATTACCCGCTGTCTACTACTACTACTACTACTACTACTACTACTACTACTCCTACTGCTACTGCTGCT